TGAGTTCCACAAATATTAGTAGCTTCTCATACATTTTGATCATCTTACTTTTCTCTTTCTCCAGAAAAAAAAACCTTTACAAGACAAGAATGCACTTCTCAAACTTCAGTGTGTCTATATACTTGATTTTAGCTTTTTGTTACAGTAATGAAATAAAAATAGATACAACAGATCAAAGAAAAAAATCCAATAAGCCAGGAAAGGGGGAAGAAAAGGAACAAAATGGCCATTAGAAAAAAAAATTGGGTTTAGTATGAGCAATAGGCTTATAGGCTGGCCATACCGCGGGCTGCAATAGCAACTTTAAGAACACAAAATTTGCTGTGAAGCCATCTGGGCACCAGACAGCTATCCCCACAACTCACCACACACTCTTGCTTAAGAAATTAAAAAGAACAGCTCATTTGAAAAAACTATCACCTACTTGATCTTCCCCAGGGAGAGAAAACTGCCGCTCTCATCAGGGATAGCTAAACTGAAGCCACAACACTACACGCTACCAGCAGCTTAAGCTACAAAAAAAAAATAAATAAAAGTTAATATATATGCAGTATTTTTCACATTTCTTCAAAACTTTATAATACCACCACATTACCAGAAAAAAAGAGCAACAAAATTCTTTTTATATTTGAATTCAAACAAGGTGTCTCTACTAATCACTGCTAGACTGACAGGGAAGGAAAAACCAGCAACGTTCCTCCCCACAGAGTCTAGACTTCAATTCTGCTAATTCCGCGAGAGATCTTCTCCTTAATGGAATTGATTTCAAGGCAACAAGTATTCTGTATCAGGCAAATTTAAAAGAAAGTAAAACTTCAAAAAACATTGTCAGTCCAGGTCTCTTCTGCCCCATATTTGCTGTTGGACTAGAAACTGAACTGAGCCTGACATGGGATATGAGACTAAATCAGGACGGCAACACATAAACGAGCTCCAAGAATAAGCATAAGAAAATTGGATATACTTATAAGGAAATCGGACACACTTCGCAATTAAGGCTTTGAGCTTTGAACGCACTTCTGACGATGCAAAACAATTCCAGGTCAGGATTAAACACTGACCTGAGCCTGTCTCCTACTTAGGTACGACCAGACTTGAGCCATCTGTAATACAAGTTAAGTGTCAGAGCTCAAACATCAAGTGTAACATCATAAAGTTATCATATTCTACATCATATTCTAGTATTGTAACTGCAATAATTTTCTTAGTATTTCTGCCTCAGAGCATTAGAATTCCACAACATGTAGCAGTATAGACACGAACTGAAAAATATAACTAAAAGAGGTCATCGGCTTGCTTTTCAATATTAGAGATTTGGCGTAAGAGCATTCTTCCTATGTTTCCTACGGCATGTTTTAATTTCAGTAAACAAATTAAAGTGCATACTTGCGTTAGATAAGGCAGAGTGAAAAAAAAACAAACAAAACCATCTTAATGGGAATCCTGTAAGTTTTAATACATTTCAAATCTTGCTTAAAGAAAAATTAAGTATATTTTTGTAGAAGCTTCAGTTTTAGCATTCTACTTTAATGCAATTACACTTCACTATCCCACGTACTGCATAAATACTTTCAGTTATATAAGGTGGAACTATTCTATTGATGTTTAAGGAAATAGAGTTGTCAAAAGAATTCTTAACTATAAAAGTAATAATATATATTTTTAAACTCATAAGTAAATTCAGTAACTTTAAGAAACAGCAGTTGTTCAGTTATTGATTTGTATCCTAGAACAACAGGAATTTTTTCCAAGTCATTGAATAGAGCTAGGCATGAGAGAAACTACAGTGAGGAATATTCTCTGGATTTAATTTGTGTTTCGGAAGGTATCTAACATTTCCTGTCACTCAGCAAGATCCACCCATGCAACTGTTTGCACATGTAGAACACCAACTCTGACTGCTGTGACAGTGCTCGAAGTAGCACTACACCGGTAGTTACCCAAAAACTGTTGCGATTTTCAGTCATGACATGTATTTCCCAGCGATGCGCTGCTTTGGTGAAATTTTACTGTGACATATACCATTACTACTACTGTTTCCAATGATAGAACTGAATAAAAAAAAATTATAACTCACAAATGTAACGAGGGTTTGAACGTGCTATGAAGTTTTCTTTTTCAGAAGATGGTACTATCTTCCAAACCCAAATTTCACTTTAAAAGAAAGAAAACGTGAGAGAGAGACCTTTAGAAAACCAGCTGCATTGCCCTAACAGTACAACACCCTCGGCTTCATTCTGATCGAAGTGAGCCCCTGCCTGGTCCTGAAAACAAGAGCAAAGCCTTTCATTACAAAGGCCGAATCCCATTCTGCAGAGAAAAGTACCGCATTTAAGCTTCTGGAAGAAGGAAATAGTGGAACACCTCTGGATTTTCAATTTTGCAATACCAAATAGACATGATATTAAATTGCGCGCTTACAGAAAGACCTTTTTCTAACACTTACGGCATCAATCGGACGCATTCCATGATAAATCCCTGAAATTGGAATCATTTACGCTTACTATCGCTTCTCATCTTTGCCATAACATCAACAAACAGCATTCACTGTTCTGGCTCCTGCCACGAACATTATCAAATATCACACAGAGTAATTAACTTACTTAACATAAAAGCCTCTTTGATTCCACGGCAAAGAGGAAAAATTAAAGAGAAGCAGTATTTCAAATTATTTGATCATTACTGGTTTAAAGCAGTAACTTTAACTGTATAGGAATATACTTTTTCCCCACCTTCGGTAATTACTTTGTATGAAGATTCCCACAAGATGGCGCTGTAGTCCTAGTTTAGCAAATCTCACCTATTTTTCTCCTGAATTGGTCGAACATTTTGAAGAAAACCTCACTTTATTTCATTGTTAGGATAATGAACAGTGATTTGCAAGGTCTATTTTCAATTAAAGAGCGAAACATGTTCAGTTCATCTAATTTTCCAACTTTTTTTTTTTTAAACAACTGGAAAAGTGAGTTCTATTGCAAAAGTCCAAAAACCCTCAACTGAAGTTTATATAACATAATGGATCACCGTATGTTCGTCTGTTTGTATGTAAAATAAAGTCAATTTATATTCCATATGGTTATAGAAAAAAGATCATAATTACTGTTAAAACATATAAATCACTTTTTACAGCATAATGTCAAACAGCTGCTTTCGCCTCCGCTTGCAAACTTTGCCAGAAAAAAACCCCACTGGTTTTGTGATATCAAACTCCAAAAATCTCTTTAAGCGAAGTGAGCATTACAGCACAAAGAAACCTTGATATGATAGGCTACCAATTCACAGAGAGTAATAAATAAATAAATCTTACTGAAGCTCACACATCTTTGGTTTGATTATATTACGTTTATGGAAGTCTTACATCTACTTATGTCTCTAAAGAGAAATTTGAATACGGTTTCAAATCATAAAGGTGTTGTGTATCTTTGTATACTGGATGGTCTCCATCTGTGCTGCCGGTCTTCAAACGCGCTGGGTAAGAGCACTAAACCACTCAACACATCTCTTGCAGTCAAAGTCTGTGGACTTACTTGCACATTTTAGTGTTTAGGATCAAACTGACCCCCGCTTCGTCAGTGTTAATGGAAGCCATAATGTGTTGGTGCTCTCCAGCTCAGCATGAAAATTTATATTTTGAAAAAAAAAAAACCCACAACAAAACAAAAACAACCAGCAGAAAAGGTACATATTTGAAATTGTGTATTTAAGTTTTCATTACGACTTATTCAACAGTACAGATGGTAAGATGGTATGTAAGAAAGCCTCTTGGGTGTAATATGCAGGTCCCAGCTGGAATGTTTCCAACAGGATGTAAACCATGGTCCTCAAGCCTGCACTTTAAAAAACATATTACTTAGCACACTGCTAACAAATGTCAACACAAAAATACACTGCTGTAATGACTTCACTTTACAAAAGGCGGGGGGGAACCTAGATGAACAGTTTTTAAAACCGAAAATTGGGGCCGGGGAGAAGGAAATTAATACACAGATGCATTACAAAATATTTATTCAAAGGAATAAAAGCACTGGTAATCATTACAAATTCGATATATTAAAAATTTAATGCTGTACAAACATACATATTAGTCCTGATATCTGTAAGTCTACAGAGACCAGGTCCAAGACCTGTGCTTTCAGGTCTTCTCAGAGGTGTTGCTTGATGTTTTCAACAATTCTGAGGTTTCTTCAATTCTGAAAATAAATTTTGTTTACACACACACTCATTAAAATATGGTAAAAAAAAAAAAAAAACAAACCAAAACTGCCTTGCCTTTAACTTTCTAATGAATCCAAAATACTAACAAAAAGCATGAAACCTTAAGTTTTTTCTCATCCCTCCTCTGCAGTTGGTTTGAATTTAAATGCCTACCACGTAGCAATATATTTTAAGTATACACAAAGAAAGAAGCAACCCACACAATAAAATTAAATCACAAAAAAAAGGCTACAGCTTTTTTCAGGCCAGGCACTTAGAGATTTCTCTTGCTAAAGAAACATTATACAGCAATGCATTTCTCTTCAAGTGTAACAAAAAATATTTCAAATCCCCGAACTAGTACTAAATACACCTTCATACAGTTATCACACTGCTTAGGCTGAAATTTGGTTAACTCTTCCTTAAATAATAAACAAAAAATAGTTAAGTAATTGCAGTTATTTTTCAGGAAGAAAAGCCGCGAGTACCAGGGAATTCCTATCAGGAGATAAATAATATTCCTATTCCTTGTCAACTCGATTCTAAACACTCTTTAATCTCTAGTTAATACTATTAAGAATGCTTTCTATTGCTTTTTAGAAACCAAAACAGTGACTCATCCCACAAATACAGAACTGTAAGTGGATTTATTATCCAGTGGGGTCATAAGGAAATGCCACACCTGATGTAGAGACCTTTGAGGTTTGGAACACATATGTACGTTCTCTATATGCCTTAGTCCGGTACAACTCCCTC